ACCAAGGGAATGCAATTAGGCAGCCATGGAGAGGGGAACAAAGTCCCTGCAAGGGGCAGAGACGGAGGTTGGTGGAGGCCTGAGGCTGCAGAAGGTGGATAAAAAGCTGGCCTGGGTCAGCCCCTTTGAGCCACGGAGCTCACCTGGGCCTCTGCTGCTTTTCCTAGACAGGTCTGGTCCAATGTTGTGATGGGGAGGCCCTGAGGATACTGTGTCCAGACATGGCCCCATCACTCAGGAAGGATCTGGAGCTAATTGTCCCCTTAAGTTGAAGCTGGGGAGGCAGAGGAGGAGTGGACAAAGCATGCTGGGACAGCCCAGCCCCTGCCCAAGCTCTGTGCATGCATTTCCTCAATTCATCTGCCCCCTCATTTCACAGATGAAAAACCAAGAACCAGAGAGGTTAGCCCTGAGACCATACAGCCCTCAGGGAACAGACCAGAATATATGCTGACTTTGAGGACTGCTGGGACCAGTCTGCCTGACCCCCTAGCAGCAACCCCCTCTAGACTCATACTCATGCCCTAGACCTCTATGTGTTCTGGCACATCTCTGCCACACCCCACCCCCTAACTCACTAGAAAACCAATCCAGACTTTATGTCTCCTGGAGGTGCCCTAAACTTCTGGACATTGCACCCCAGTTCCCATAGCCCGTGGGTGACTTCTGAGTTGATTCCAACCTTGGTCAGCCCTGCAGCAGGAGCCACTGGACAGCAGGAAACCCAGTCACAGGCTTCCGTGGTGGTCTGCAGCAGAGCAGGACCGGGGCCTTTGCTGTCTCTTCCCGCCCTCCGCCACCGGAAGCCTGTGCAAGGCGAAAGTTTCCCTATCAGCTGACACTGGCCACATACTGCCTGCTCCCACTCCTGCCCCTCCGCGGGGCTACACTCCCTGACATTCATCCAGGCCACAGAGTACACACTGGAAGTACGTGCATGTGCCATGCATGTGTCATTCCTCACATGTGGCACCTGCTAGACAGGGAACCCAGGACGTCACATTTTGGTGTGATGATGACTGTGTGATGCACAGGGGGCTATAGGGTCAGGGAAGGCTTCCAGGTCATGTGACATCAAAGCTGATTGGAGGTCAGTGGGGGGACAGTGAACAATGGGGCTGCAACTAAATCCCAAGGGCCAGGTACAGTCCAGGTGGGCTTGTTAAGGTCCCTCCTGCTTTGCAGTGATGGATGACAAGAGGGGGCAAACCCAGGACAGGAGACCAGAGTAAAGGCAGGAACAGCATGCAAGGGCCAAATGGCCACATGGCCACCTGGCTGGAGAAGTGGAGGAGGGGGACAAGGGTGATGCCTATGCTGCTGACCTTGGTGGCAGGGAGGGCACCTTCTCTATGAAGGGGACCTACAGGGGGTGGGGAGTGAGTTCAGAGGAAAGGAGGCCTCATTCAGCATTCAGTAAGTTGGTTTGAGGAGCCATGAGACAATCCTGGGTTAGTCTAGGTGTCATGTGGACATGCCAGTCCTCTGGAGCAGAGGTCAGTAGACTACAGCCCAAGAGTCCAAACCAGCCCATCACTGTTTTTGCACCACCTGAAAGCTAGGAAGTGTTTTAAAATTTCTAAGTGGTTAAAAAAAATAATCAAAACTCTGGCCAGCAGGTGGCATGGTGGTTAAAACACTGGACACCCCGATGGCCAAATTGTGGTTCAAGCCCCAGACTCAGTGGCTTGAAAATCACACTGGGTTGGGGGCCAGCAGATGGTATGGTGGTTAAGGACGCTGGCCAACTGTGGTTCAAGTCCTGGACCTGGTGGCTTGCTTTCTCACACTCTCTCTCTCTCTCTCTGTCCCCCTCTGGTCAAATTAAAATAAGCAAATAAATAAGTAAAAGTTAAATAAGATAATTATTTTTAAAAAGAAAAGAAAAGAAAATCATGCTGGGCACATGTGTGTGTGTGTTCCCCCAAACCCTAAGAGAATGGAGGAGAAGGGACTGTGGTGTGGACATTCCCCCCTCCGGGGGAGGGGTGATGAGTTCTCACTTTCCTTCTTTCTGTCTCTCTTGGGTGAGCACATATACCCTATTAAAAAACAAAAACAAAAACAAAACAAAACAACAAAACTAAACAACAACAACAAAATTCATGGACCAGCAGGTGGCAGGAGGCTAAGGTGACTGGATCCCACATGGTCAACTGTGCAGTTTGAGTAACAGACCCAGTGGCTTGTAAATCATGCTGGGGGCACTGTGTGAAATCATGCTGGGCGCATTGTGTGTGTGTGTGTGTGTGTGTGTGTGTGTGTGCGCGCGCGCACCAAAATCCCAGGGAGCCTGGAAGAGAAGGGACTGCAGTGTGGCTATCCTGCTTAGCGACTGACGTCTTATTTTCCCTCTGTCTTTTTCTCTCTCTCTGGTCAGCACACATACCCCAGTTTTTAGCGAAACTATACCAAACGTAAAACTTGCATCTATTAGTTATTATCAAAAACTATTATCACCGCCCATTATCACCACCCCCCTGCCTGAAAATGGCAAGTGCTCACAAGGATACGGAGAAGATGCAGCCCTGTGCAGGCTGGAGTGTAAAGTGGGCATTCACGGTGCAAACAGTATGGCGGTCCCGCAGATGGCTAAACATCAGATTCCATTGCTGCGTCTATACTCAAAAGAATTGAAAGCAGAATTGCAAAAAGAGGGTTGGACATCCACATGCAAGCAGAGGGGCCACGCACACCACCTAGAATCCTGACACATGGAAAATCATTTTCATGGCATGAAAATCCTGGTGGACAATAGGGAGTCTCTAGGCACAAGGACCAAGTGGAGTCTAGGCAAGGATCGTCGATGCTATTTGCAGGGCTCAGAGATTTTTCCTGGCACCCTGTGCTCTTGTAGCCTTGATATAAACAGGGGAGGGAGAACGGGTCAACCCATCTCTGGATGAGGTTTGCCAAGTGACTGTCAGGGAAGGACAAGGGCCTCTGACCTGGACAGCAGCCTGGAATATTCAGGGAGGTCTCTGGAGGTGGACCTGGAACCTTTCTATGTGGGGGAGCCTTCCAGAGCATCATCTTTTACTGCTGTGCCAACCCCCAGGGCTCCCATTTCTACTTGAATTGCTCCACTGGGCAGACATGTAACAGTGGACACATCTAGGGTCTTCCCTGAGTCAGCTCATGGGGACCATTGCCCACAGGCTCCCGGGCAGGTGATACTCTCCAGCCCACTTCCCCAAGTAGGGAGGTTAAACAGACCAGCCTAGGAAAATCCTGCAAGGTTAACGGGAGCTACTGGATACCCTGGAGGCTGGTGGTAAATTCTCACTATGCCTGTTCAGTCTGGTGGGCTCCCTGGCAAAGGAGCCCTTGCCTCTTCCCAGCCAAAACGGGAACAGCTTCAGGCAGCTGGGTTCACCTCTTTGCTCCATTCCCAGAGGTGCTGGCCCAGGAGCATCTGATGATCTTTGAAAAACCAGCCTGACTGCAGCCCCTTGAGGGCTAGCGTTCCAGGACAGTGGGGCAGGGTGTAAACTTTTCCAATGAAGGGTTCATTTGGCACATTTCCACCATCTCTGATGCCTTAGATCCCACAATTTTCCCCCAACTGTCAGGGAGAATTTCTCTAGACACCTCACCTCTCCTAGGAGGAGGACCCAGGTGTCGCTAGCCTGACTGCTACATTCAGCTACCTTCCCCCTACCCCCAACCCAATTCAAGCGTTTGCAGGGGATGGGTAGAGAGGGAGTCTAGAGCCGGGCTTGGGGGCTGAGGTTGGTGGCTGAGGCTACAGGGATGTACGAAAGAATACGAGCCCATGACAGGAAAAAGGAGTAGGAGCTTACTATCTGGAAGGCTCCTGGAGGCCTACTCCTGAGCAACTGGGAGCTCGAGGTCGGGTGGTGTGGAGGAGGGGAGAGGAGGGGGGGGAGGAAATGGGAAAGGGGGGGGGGGGAGGAATAGCTGCAGGCAGAGGTGGGCTCATCACTGCTTGGGCCTGGTGCAAAACGCCAGACCCTCCTGTTCAAGACCCGCCCAGAGCCTCAGGCAGAGTGCACCTTGGAGGGACAGGAGTGAGGAGTGGTGAGATGGAGAAAGCGCCCCAGGAACCTGAACCTCCCACCCTACCTATGTCGGGACTATGCCTCAAGCCCTACCTTTCCCTAAGGGCTACATAGCCTACCCTGTTTCCCATGGACGAGCACACAGGTGGGGTGGGGGGGGGTCGGTCTTGAGGCACAGGTGTGTACAGGGGGTGCGCGCACACCCAAGTCGCACGAGAGCGGAGGTTGGGGACTGGGAGAAGGAGCAGGGCGGGGTCCAGTATCGCCGAGCTTTGTTAGTGACGCTCGCCAGGAGCCACGCGCCAGGCGTACCGGCTTCCTCTACCCAGCCTGGACTGAGGCCGTACCCGCCACGATTGGCCAAAAGGACTGCCTACCATTGGCTGAGACCCCGGCCCCCGCCTCCTTCGCCCCAGGAGGGCCGGGCGCAGGTGCTGGCTGGAGCGGCGCGTGCTGCCCTGGGGGTCTCGCGCGCCTCGCTCATTGCTGTGGGCAGCTGTTGTCGCGGCCACGCTTCCCACTCCCACAACACGCGCTCCGCATGCAGAGGGCTGGCGGCTCTCGGGACTTGGGGGCTGAGCGCAAGGATTGGGTGGAGGTACTGGGAAAGTTGCACCAGGACCTGCTGACAGTACCTGGAGGTGGAGGAAGCGGTGCACCAGGAACTTATGGACACAGCCTGGGGGTGCACACCGATACCCGAATACTGCTCTTGGAGGAGGGGTGTTCTAAGCACCTGCTGGGGGCAGGGGGCGCACTGGGGTCCTGAGGACTTCGCC